TCTTCCATTGGGTAAAAAAAAACCAGTACTTTCTTCAGTTTGTAAGGTTTGGGTTCAGGAGTCTTAGGCTAGGTCTTCTCTTGTCTCTTGTATGATGGATAGCTTCTGTGGAAGTGACGGTCTTAGCTTCTTGTACTGTTAAAGACAACACAAAGATCATAACCATTGTTACTCTTTTTAAGTTATAATATCATGAGGGAGAGATAGAGAGAAACTAGGACTGTTTGAAGTGTGTTGTTTTATGTCTTTTTACCTGTTCAACAAAGGCTTTTATCTCCTCCTCTGTAAGAGCTTCGTCTTCGCCATTGTTTTCATCCCAGCCGAGCGATCTAAGGAACTCAGCTTCTTTCTCATCTGGAATATCAGCTGCTTCAAAGCCACCAGTGTTTCTTTCTGAAACTTGAGAGGTTATCTGGATCCTTTCAGTCGCTTCTGGACCGCTCGTTGCCTGTGGACTTGAAGGGTCACTAGCTACAAGCTCCTTTGAGCTGTTGTCGACCTTTTCCTCAACAGAAGACGAGATGCAGGTTGTAGAGTTAACCGGATTGTTTGTTGATGTTGTTTTCTGCTTCAGAGCACTGTAAAATGCATTCCTGCTCTGAGATTGAGCTGAGGAAGATTTCTTTTCAATGGTTTGGCCAGATATCATGGTTAAGGTAGTAGATCCCTTGAGCTCCTTTGGGCTGTTTGTACTTCTCACAGGAGCAGATTGCGTTGATTGAGCAATGGTCATCAGCTGGCCAGAGATGGTTCGATTGTTGGTGTTACCACTAGGACTTCCTGATTCTTTAACAGCAGCGACACCGTTTTCCCTAGCAGGTTTGAGAACCAACAGCTTCTTCTCAGGTTTTATTTGACCACTAGGATTAGACTGGAAATTCCCGAGCAGGGCAGAGGGCTGGTGTTGGGCATTTCTTGAGGGAGCAAGACAAGTTTCACCAGTTCGAACCCCTTGCTTGATCTTGGATTTATCCGAGGGGTTAAGACTCTGAAAAAACAAATAAAACAGCTATTGAATGTAGCAAAAGATTGATAATACGATTAACTAAGGGGAATACTTACCGAGCACTTTGATGCTGTAGGCACAACCGGTATCAACTGCCTTGACTGCTTGATAGCCAAGTCCTCAAGTCTTTGTGTCTTCACAGATCCCTGAAAAAGTGTTTATAATCTTAGACAAACAGAAAGGTAGGTGTACAATAAAGCTACACAAAGATGATGCAAATCATACTTGGGGAGGGGTATGAGTTCTTGCTGGAGCCTGAACCAATGCTTCTGCCATGTTAAGACCAGTTTGTCCAGTTAACGTTCCCGTGCTAACAACATTAGCTCGTGGAGAAGTTAATGACCCAGCACAGGCCTTCTCGATGACATTGGGAACCTCTGCCAGAGCTGACGTCCAACCTTCCCCACCAATCAAAGCTGAGCTACCAACTGGCAAGCTCTGAACAGCTGAACTTAGACCTGGAGATGAGACTCGTACAACATCATGCCCACCATGCTTCTCGTCAGCTCCAAGCGAAGGAAAATCCTTATCAAACCCAGTTCTCTGAAAGCTATTGCTAATGCTAGGTCCAGGAAGTATACCATTTCCATTGTAACTATTACTATTGCCACCATTTTTCAAGCCGACTGTAAATCCTCGAGACAGGTGGTCACCCTGTTTCCTTGTAACCATTGAATGTGATCGTCTCAATTGATCATGATCCTTACCAGTTAAGATACTTCTGAGCGGGATAGAAGTGTCAAGGTCCCATGGATCCACATAGCTTACCCTATCTTTATCCCTGCTGCGGTCCTTATCCCTTTGACTCTTATTGAAGTTGAAACTACTATATGGATGTTTTGCAGACCCATTACTAGCGCCCCTCCTTGAATTAGTAGAAGAAGATCGATCCAGAAACGGAGAATGAATTGAATCAACATCACTTTTGCTCCTAGAATTCCTATTCCTGCTATTATGTTGTAAAGATGCAGAATCTAAACACACAAAAAAAACCAAGATAGGAAACAGTTAAAATCACACTATTTTGAAAAGTTAAAATGCAAAAAAGAGGCTAAGATATGAGTACGATGCTATGATTCGAACAAACCTGAATGAGACGAAGATGATACAAGGAGGTGGTTTGAACTCCCACCACCAGAAGCATGCCCTGAATTTCTCAACCATTCCGGAACTAAAGAGGGTTCACCTTTGTCCATTAGTAAAGCTGTACCTCATCAGATAAAAGAAAGAAACACACTTTCTCTGGCCTTCTTCACCCCTCCAAAGAACAATAGAAAAAAGCTCCCTTTTTTTATCCTCTACTTACAAAATGCAGTTAACCTATCCCTAGGCTCCTTGATCACAAATCCAAATGACTTGTTTCAACTCTGGAAATCTTGTGAAACGCACCAAGATGATGAAACCTTCTAGACTTCCATCTCTCACACAGATGGCTTAGAAGACGATTTAGCTTCTTCACCCTAAAGAACCATCATCCTCACACGAAGAAGGTACAACCCAAGCCAATGTCTATCTATCAATGGCCACAGAGAAAATCACTAGCAACCTACTTCGCACCTATTCAATGCCGGAGGCAGAATTCCAGTCAGAAACCCTAACAACTACGCATATATCTCTCTATCTATAATCACCAGCGCCAATATCAATCAGCCCAAGCCTCTCTAATGGTTCCAGAAAGCGGAAATAGTCCGCTTCAAAACAGAAATCACAAAATTTCACCGGATAACAGGAACACAAACAGCGGAGGCCAAGCGACAAGGGTTGGGAAAAAGGGGAAAGAGATAGAGAGAGAGAAGACGGAAAAACCCTAACCCGGAAAGGAGATTGTTGGTCCAAACGCAAAGACAAGGCGTCTCGTAGATGCAATCGAAAACAATGGCTTCTCTTCACCCACAAGGAGGAATTTTTTGTCCGAAAAGCGAAAGGAGGAGGAAAGAGAGAGAGCGATGGAATAGGAAGGAAGGAAGCACACTCGGGAGGAGGAAATTAAGGAATCAAAAAGGAAGATGAGAAGAGGAAATTAGGGTTTTTGAGGAGAGTGGTAAGAAGAACGAAGGGAGGCGAAATTATAATTTGTTCTCTGTGTGTGTTTATTTGGGAAAATACTTTGGAGGAACGAAACGTATGAAGAAACAAGACCCTTTTTTTCCTCTCCTATAAGAAAAATCAATTTCTCCTTTTTTTGTTTTGTTCAATTTTATTTAGTGTTGGTTAATTTCGAATTGGTTTTAATAAAAAGAAATTGGCAAGTATAGCC